ACACGACAATGCTATATAGTGTCTTAAACTTACGTTTTATATATTACAATATATAGAGTGTTGTTTTTTTTATTTCTTGTACTTCTGCGTTATTAGAATTTGTTGGTGTTGTCACTCCACACAGATTAATTTGAATTCTGAATTTGTGTTGATTACGAAGAAAAATAATGAAGAAGAAAGAGATGGAATGTATTAAATGAAGCAATCAATTTCTTAACATCTTCTACGACGTGGTAGTGGACCTTTTTGTTAGTTTCTTAAGTCTAAAATTCTCTTTGCTACTTTTTTAATTAGCTCATTCCATCTTGACATTTTGCAAATTCACTCCAGATTGTATTGAGTTTACTATGTTTTAATAGGTTTCTTATAAAGTTGGTTTTGGTTCTTTATTGGATTTGTTACTTACTGGAGACAAATATAATGTTATTTTATTATTGGCTAACATTTGAACTTAATTTCTGTTTATGAAGCCAATATAAAAGTAGTACTATAGTTTTTTTTTGTTTTTTGGTGAAAAACAGTAATATCAATAATTTATTAATAGTGATGATAATTATGAAGAGATTTATTATTTCTGAAGCAATCCCACAGCACAATCCATACAAACATAGTCCAAGTAAGCGACTGATTTAGTCCAATTTTTAAACTCACATTGTTTCAAATCTTTAGAAAGATCCTTATTACAAACACCATCATATACTAAGAACAAGACTTGTTATTTCATTTGATTTAAAGGCAATTAGTTTTGTGACTAATCGTAAAGATTCTTGTTATATATTATTGATATAACTTTTTTTTTCTTAACTATAATAATAATATTTATTGAGACATATATATATGGTCGAAAATCAGACACTATGTTCAAATGGAATGCGATGATTAAAGGTCTGGAGGGTACTCATTATTCCGGTGCCATGTTCTCAATCGACGTTAAATTTCCTAAAGATATACTAATCGGACTTTAAGTTATTTCATATTCATGTTACGTACTAAAACAATTTCGTTTCATGTTTTATGTTCTTTTCTTCTGAATTTTCTTTTATATCACAGTTTACATTGTTTTTTTTTTTTTGGTTCAAACTTAGTCTCCATTAATTAAACTTGAAGATCTTTACAAAAGATTAGAGTTCTTGCATCTCTATTTGCATTACAAACGGCCAACTCGGTGGCTAAACAAGAGTTAAAAGTACTTAAGATAGATAAACCATATATCTTCAACTGTCATGCTTATTGAAGGATCTCGTAGAGATCAATGTGATTAGTGGACGAGATTTGCAGCTTCACGAACGTCGTAAGCGATTTGAATTTGATATAACTCGAACCGTTCAGTTGAAATCGTTAAAAACTCCGTAAAAACGGTTTGTGATGGTAAATGCCTCTCCATGTGAGATGAGAATGGTGAAAGCGATCTTTCCTGGCCCAACAACAGCTTAAATTCAAAACTAAGATTTATCATTCAAATATCGATTCTCGAGGAATTATTTGTCTTGATATTCTTCAAGACAAGTGGACTCCATCTCTCACCATTTAAAAGGTTTTAAAATCGACTCATATAGTAAATATTTTGTTTTAATGCTGT